CTACTCTCTTACCAATGAATAGTGAGATTGACCGTCACATTATAACACCCCCACGGCTGAAAGGGCGAACATGTTTGGTGTGATGGGGAATCGAACCCGCGACCCTCAGATTGCGAGTCGAGCGCCCTAACCATCTGGCCATGCCGGGCCAGATATTTGGTGTTATGGTTTATATAGCATTCAAAAAGCAAATTAAGTTCTTTGTAGTTAACAATTAAGATAAGTAGTTTGGGGCTTATCTCTGTAACAGAACTACGAGCATTTAAACAACCCAGGAAACAATGAATATAGGTAATAACTTTTCTTCCAGTGGAGTTTTAAATTTAAAAAAAACTTTGATTATTGTGGAGTTTCACATGTTAAAGACACTAATCATCATGGAATTTTACTTGTTAAAGAAACTGAACATTTTGTGGTTTTACATGTTACAGTAACTTTGACTAACACTTATTTTTCCTCAGCCATTTCTGTATTTACATCCATAAAAATTAATAAGTGATGAATATCACCATACCTCAAATACAGACACTTCAAACATAAAATATAATAATCATTGAATGTTTTGGACCTGAAAACCATTATATGACCTAGTACTATGCTATGCCATTGTACAACATTCTCAATTTATTGCCTTGAAAGCCAGATTTCACACACACACTCTTATTAACAATAATACAGTCACAAGTCTCGTGATATCACACACTAGACCACTTTCTGTAAAGAAATTTTGCAATAAAATAGCTTTTATGTCATTAAAACTAACATAAATAGATAATATTTAACTTACTTTGTTTTACTTATGAAAGTTACCTCTGTACTTTCAGAAATTAAAGCTCATATTAGAGCAAAAGTCTACTGTAAGATTGTAGTTTCAAATTATAAGCACAAGTTTTTGTAAAACAAAAAGGAGCCATCAGAGTAAGTATTTCAAGAAAACTAGAGGGACATTCAATATAGTGCATACATCCACCATGTAGTGTTGATCATATTTGGCCCCCCAAAAAATATTAAAATGTGTTTATATGTCCATTGTTATCAATGGACATGGACCATTTTTGGCAGGACAATGAGGAGTAATTTTCTACATGTATCCACCATGTTTATGAATAATTGATTATTTTTGACTGAGTTATAGACCAAAAATAGTGTGAAAAATTGGTCCCCATGATAACAGATAGGGATTTTTTTGAGTTTGGTTATAGTCCAAATGTATAACAATTTTTTGTCAAAATCCATTCAGCCATTTTCAAGAAATCTTGTTGACAAACACACATACAGGGGTGAAAACATAACCTCCATCACCATCGGTTGTGGAAGTAATAAACAAGTCTAGGAACCGATAAAATTAATTTATTACCTTTACATAGCTCATAAGATTAAAAACCATGGTATACTTGGATTATTTGAAAACACACAATTAGGAAAGGCTTCTTAAATAATAACTAAAAATATAGAAATTTACAATTCATATAAAGAAGAAAGGAAGCTAAACAACAGATATATTGCAAAAAAGAAAATAATTCCAATTTTAACGTGATGTATTTATGATTTTTTTTACTTTAGAAGCTTAGAAGTTGTAACACAAAAAATGCAAGCATTTGAATTTTACAGTTTTTGACACCACTAACTTAAAACATTTAATGTTTTAAAACTGTTTGAGCTAGAAATAAGTATAGAGTACAAAGACCACAGACTTGCATCTTTGTGTTGTATATTTGAAAAGTGTTTTCTATTTATTTGTGCTCACCAAATAAAATTTAAAATTGGTAGCAAAAATACTAATTAGAGTTAAAATTTCAGTGTTTGTTCTTTATTGTATTATTCAGAACAAATGTTGATAAAATTTACATAAAAATAAAATTCTAAAGATGGATATTTCAGTTACAGTTTTATTTTGTAGGTGTTTTGAGGGTAGAGATTACAAAGAATGTCATTTCCCTTTGCAAAAAATATGAGATACTGGGCTCGAGAGTGTTAAACTACTCAGCTTCTAAATTAGCAGGAAATAGAAAAATACAATATAGGAGTATTGTCTACTCATTAATTTTCATTTCTCTCACAAATGTTTTTAGAGGATGATTCGACCGTGCTTAACACAAACATGATAGAAGTTACTGAAGTAACAAAAATTAAAAAATTCACTTTCTAAAGTCTCAGTCTGACAGTTTGACTACATAATAATGTTACTAATATGGGAAGCAAGCTGTGGCCGCGTATTCACACATTGCTTTTAAATCTGTTTAAAACATCTATTTAATAGAAGTTTTTATCTAGGTATCGGGTATTGCTTTCTCTGTATTTTGTGTTCATTCAGCCACTCATAATCTATCGAAATCCTGATTAAAGGGGGGAATGAATTTTAATTGTCCTTTCTCATAACTGTCAGTTAGGTAGTAAGTTCAGTGTGACATAAACCATTTTATATTATCAAGCTAATTTGCTTTAAAAAGTGAAAAGAATGTTAGTAAACCAATAGAGACAGTAGTTTTTGTTTTTCAAACATAGAAATAAAACTATAATAGTACATGCAAAAAACTTATTTGACACTGATATGGAAAGAATTAGAGAAACTTTCTGTGAGGGAAACTAATATGGCATGCCATATCTTATTCAAGAAGCAGAAAACTTGAGTAACAACAAAACCTGTTTTTTTTTTTAATAGACCGAGTTTCTCCAGAAATGGTTTGTTGTATTACCACCAGTGGCCTATGAAAAAATTCAAGCTACATATATCTACAATTGTAACTCATGGGTTCGAGAATACACAAAATTCCATGACAGAATATTAGCACCACGTTTGAAGGTAATTTTTGCAATACATTTTCAGCACTGATAACAATTAACATTTTTTATTACTTCCACTCAGAGTTTTTATCAAGTTAATTTGTTGTTTTTTATTTGTTTAGTAATCATTTATTGTAAAAAAATATTAAAAAGTCACTTGTAAAAATATTCTTGATTTATTGTTGCGTAAATTTTGTTTATTGACTGTTACAGGAGATATTAATTGTTATAGCAGTTTCTTGTTACAAATAACATTAAATTTATTCATTCTTGATATAAGTAAAACTAAATTTTTGCCATAACTAATTTCAAACAGTTTTGCCAATGAGATTGTTAATTTTAATTGTAAAGTTAATATGAATAAAGTGAACAGTGAAATGTAATATAGGCTGTGATAGTTTAAAATAAGTTTTTATACCTCTTCAGGGAAGTAGAAAGCTGATTTTCATTGACACACCACAGAGAATCAATGATTTTATTGATCCTGATCAGCAGCGGTTGCCTGGGGCAACACTTTCTTTAGATGAAGATCTAAAAGTCTTTAACAATGCACTAAAACTTTCACACAAAGACACCAAAGTTGCCATTAAGGTGAGAAGAAAGATTTATATTATACTGTAGAAAACTATAAATGTGTGGGACATTCACTCTGTTATAATTTCATAATAACCAGTTATAGAGGTTTGTGTATTTCATTTCTTTTACTGTCTGAATTGCCACCTCTAAATGTTTTAATTAAAGGCCATCCAAATCTTCAAATGTTTATTTTACTTTTTTAAAGAAGGTTAGGATAAAAATACTTATATTTTAATATTCAAAACTTTTGTCCAATATTTACTAAAATTGTTTCAATGATTCTTAATTTTCATTCCATTGGATTTTGTTTATTTGTTCGTCTATACAAAGCAGGAATCTGTACTACTGAATATTGTACTTAAAATATCCTGGAATTGTACAAACATGCAATTTGTTTCTGTTTGAATTAAAACTGATCATCCAAAAAAAAGTATGTCTTTATTTCAATAATCAAAAAATTTTCAAATGAAACTTATTCTGTTATGTCTGTTTTTATAGGTAATTTTGATACATTCTGTATGTATAAGAAAAGTTGAAATTTTAGTCGGTAAACGTTTTCTGTATAAAAAAAAAGAAAGAAAGAATTATAAGACATGGTTTCATGAACAGGTGGGACCATCAGCCATCCAGGTTACTTCAGCTGAGAAGACCAAGGTGCTGAGCCATTCCGTTCTTCTGAATGATGTTTACTATGCATCAGAGATAGAAGAAGTGAGGACAGTCTGTGTTTATTATGAATAATGAAACATTTAAGTTTTAAACCTTTCAGGTTCGAAACTGTCAGTTCAAAGGACTATTTTCATTGCACAATAGTCACAGAACATCTTAAGATTATCTTTTCATTATTAACTTTATAATGTGACACTTAAATGTTCAGTTAATTTTTGAGGATATATTAATATTTGTTAATATTATATTAATTATTCAAAATTTAGGAGCTTTATACATCAAACACTAATATAAGTATGTAGTGAATACCATAATGAAACAAAATCCAGATTAAGTAGAAGATAAATTGTCTTCGTCACTCCCCTGTTTTGTCTGTCATGTTTTTAGCTGTCTGGGCTACGATAATTGGTTTGGCTACTCATCATGTGAATGTTGTTGTCTGATATAATCTGTCCAGTACTAGTTTTTAAATATTATTTTACATGTATGGTGTTTATGTTGCTATAAATATAATAAGAATATTGTAGTGCCCCTGTTGTTATGTCTAATATAAATCACATGCCAATACATCAAGGATAAACCTAGCACACAGTCATTTAAAAAATATAGAGGTTCATAGATCTAATAAGTGTAAAGACATGAAAACTCAATAACTATCTGGATATTACAGAAACTGTGTATTTGATAATATGTGTAATTTTACATTACTATCAGATCTGAACAGTGCATTATAAGGATTCCCATCATTATATCAAAATATGCTGTGAAACTTTATGTATAGTTATAGGTGTTTTACATAGCAATCAAAAACCTGTTTGATCATCATTAGGAAATCAAACCTTACCATTTTTGATATGTTCGTATATACCCGGTATTTTAATAATACTTTATTTCATGAGATCTGGTAATTATACATAAAATACCATTAAAATATTTTCTCCTGTTGTTTCTGTATTTTTATTTGTCATTCAGTTTTTGTGTACTAAGGTACTTTATTTTAAACATTTTCTTTCTTATATAATCTACCCATTTTTGTAGGTTTGTTTGGTGGATGACAATCAGTTTACTTTGACAATAGCCAATGAAAGTGGTCCTTTGTCTTTTATTCACAATGACTGTGACAGTATTGTACAAGCTATCATACATATCAGAACAAGATGGGAACTATCTCAACCTGTAAGTAATAATATTATCCTTATCAGTTATTTGAGATCTTGTTAAACAAAAAAATGAAGGTATAATTATAAAGTAAGTACTTATACACAAAGAATACTATATTTGAAAAATAAAATTAAGTTCGAGAATAACATTCTTGTCCTCTTCCAAATACAGGATTCAGTAACCGTCCACACTAAAATAAGGCCCAAAGACGTTCCTGGAACGTTGCTCAACATGGCCTTGCTAAACCTTGGCAGCTCGGATCCAAATTTACGGACAACAGCCTACAACCTGTTATGTGCTTTAACAGGAACTTTTGACTTGAAAATTGAAGGACAGCTTCTTGAAACTGCAGGTAACTATAATGTGAACAAATTTTTCATGCAGTACTTTGATAAATTACTAAACACCATTACTTTTTATTGTGTAATATTAAACTATATCAATATTATTATTATGACAGCTCTAATTATAACTTGTGCAATTGTGTAAAGCTTCTTAATATTATATTTTTCCAATGGGCTTTAATGCTTATGAAAATGGTTGAAATATATTCATGCTTTTCTAAGTTTATGCTCTGGATTTAATTTTATATGATGACAGCCTTTTAAAGTGGATTTGAAAATACAATTAAGGTAGCCTAAAGTTTTTGTTGTTAAATAGCCTAGGATGAAAAGACCATTTTAATATTGTGCTAAATGAAACAAAAATTTAAAGGATAGTTAGTTTATATTGTTTCTCCATACATATGTTTTATAGATCTATGGAAAAAAAAATAGTACTGTGATATATAACACAATTCATTCCGGAGTTTTAGAATTCAGATTTTGGAATATGATGATATCTTGACTCACTGCCATGTGTCTTCATTTGATGACATTTAGACTTGTTTGTCTTCATGTGATTATAATTTGATTTCTTGCCACGTCTTAATTTGATGACATTTTGATTCATTGTCATGTGGCTTTACATGATGACATTTTGAGTCATAACCATGTCTTCATTTGATGACAATAAGCAAAAGTGTGTCAACATTTTCCTACAACTGTTTGAAAAATTATTAAAAATAACAGCCTCTGTGACCTATCACAAGATACTGTAATAATTGGATTTTTCTTCCTCTTTTTTTTATGGTTTATTTTCTTGCAAAATTGAAAATTGTCTTCTTTTGTTTTTTTGTACTAGGTCTTTGTATTCCCTCCAATAATACAATCTTCATCAAACAGATCAGTGAAAAGCTAGCTGTGAATGCTTCACACCTTACATTGGAGTTTTTAGAAGAATGTATTCAGGGTTTTAGGGCTTCAACTATTGAATTAAAGCATTTATGCCTAGAGTATATAACGCCTTGGTTACCAAACCTAACAAGGTATGTTTCTCTTACTAGGAAAGAATTGTATAAGCAATTATGTATTTGTGTAAAAAACAATAGGTTTGTTATAATTTAAAAATTGATTACAAAATATTACTTATTATCATTACATTACAAGTTCTTGTTTTATTTTTCGCTTTCATCTTTCAAGGTTTTGTAAACACTCGGATGATAATAAACGACAAAGGGTGGCTACCATTTTAGACAAGTTGATTACACTTACTATTGAAGAAGTAGAGGTAAGATCAGAGAGAGCTGTAAGTTTAAGTGTGTTTGCTTGTCATTTCACTTATGTTATAGTAAATATTTGTATGAGGTTTTTTGTTGAGTGTATCCTCTTGTTGTACAAGCTTAATACAATGGTTTGTCAAGGTTAACCTTATGCTACAAGTACCTTTCGTTGTCCAATCATAAATAAATAATCTACCAGATTATTTTACTTTTATCAGAATTATTCTCCCATAATTACTGGACAATGAAAGGTATTTACAGCATAAGATTAACCTCTGATATCTCGTATAGAGTTGACAAATTTTTACTTTGATAAAGTTTATAATATTTCAAATAAATTTTAAATTTCTTATACTTCTTGGTTTCCACAAAACGTAAGTATGATAATTATTAAAAACGTGGTAATACCAAAAAATATCTTTAATGCGGACATTTCAGAATTTCCTTAAATTCCATCATCGGCGTTAATATCTCAAAAAAAAATTTGTTCCTAATATTAAAACTACTGAAAACAACATTAGCATTGAGCGAGTTTTTGTATTCAATCGGAAGTTTAAAAAGAACAGATTTAAATGGTAACAATTTAATGGAATGTATGATAAAATGTATGGCATACACATGTTTAATATATAACATTGTTAAGAGAAACTATTATATAGAAAGGCTTAAATATAAGTATATACACTGTATCTTTAAAATAATAATATATATCAAATAAAAACACTGAGAATCTGGAATTGATTACATTAGATACAACAGGGAGGAGTTGATGTCATTATTTAGTGTTGGGTGATCATTCTCTATCAAAAATACTGTGCACTCTAACTTCTAGCCAACAGAAACCCGAACAGCTTCTTAAATTAGTCATCAAGGATAACCACTTCATTTTTAATGGTCAACTTTATGACCAGATAGTTGTTATTATGAATGTCAATTGCTGGGTAATTGCCCCCTTTATTACAAACCAGTATTATATAGAAGGTATGTTGATGATACTTTTCTACTCTTTCACATCTCTGATCATGCCAAGAAGATTTTAGAAGACTTAAACTCACAACATCCATGTATAATCTATACATGGGGATGGAAGAAAACAATAACTTTGCTTCTTTAGACGTTCAAATAAACAATATCTTTACCACATATATTTACCATAAAAAAACATTTACTGACTTATACACTCGTTTCGACAGTTTCATGCTAGACTCCTTCAAACAAAACCTTGTTCCTCATCCTCTAAACTGTAATATCTGTTCTGGCTACTTCTGACTTCACATGTTACAAAGTAATGGTTATCCCCTTAATTTCGAAAATTTTTAACAAAATAGAACCTACCAAAAAAGTCATTCACTCTCAAAATATCCACTGATTCTTATCATTCCTTTCACTGGCAAACAAAGTTTTAAACTCAAATATCAAATTCAAAGAAATAATCAAAACATATTACCCATACCGTTTAGTATTTATGTCAACATTTAGAATTAAAAATATGTTTAAAACCAAAGAGACACTACCCATTCCTATGCACTCGTGGGTTGTATATAAATACACTTGTGATAGCTGTAAAGAAACCAATATTGGTAAACTACAGATCACCTACAAATACATGCACATGAGCACATGGGAATTTCAGCAAGAAGTGGATGTAAGCTAAGTAATCCACCTTAGTCTTCTATCCGATTGCACAGTGACAGTAACAACCACCCTGCTTTGAAACTTGTACTTCCTTATACACTCTATACTTCTAGAAAACTTTAAAATTCTCTACTCCGGAACCACAGATTACAAACTATTTAGTAACTTTCTCAACACAGGCTCGGTCAATTTGATCGACTGCATGACCTCTTTGTACGCATTCAAAGTCTTTATAGATTTCATAGTACTACTAACTTTTAATATAGTGTGTATATCTTCACGAAATTTGGCAGTCTTTCAGTAAACATTATAAGTCTTTTACATACAAAAATTCATATTATTTAGTGAAGTATTTTTAATAAACTAAAAAAAAATTTGTCCTTGAATATATCGAGTATTTGTTTTGAATAGTCCATGTGGAAAGTAATTTTTCATGTTGAGATTAAAAATACCTTTCTTCATCTCAAAAATCTCAATTTCATTTGTGTAATCTCTAAAACCTCCTAAATACATTTCAGTTGTTCGTTTTCAGTAAAACTTTATACTATGTCATTATTTTCTCTACCCTAACTCTATATGGGGTTAGTCATAACCACCAAAAAAAATTTTTAAATAACCCTTTTTCTTTCTAGAAGGACTTCAAATGTAACATGAAACTACATTCCTTTATCCTAAGTTAGCTTTAAACATGTAACAGTGTGTATCTTTTTATAATTAAATTGTTTTTAGTTTTTCTTGTGCTTTTTATTGTGTCTAACTACTATTCATGCCATTATAAGTTGTAAACTACTTGGGGAATGTGCAGCTCACATTATGCTATTGAATTACCTTACCAGCGAACTGCTCGTGTGCATGCCTTGTGAAATATTTTTATTATATTATTATTTATTTTACCTAATCTAACCTAACTAACTAACTTAACTAACCTAAAGAGATCCCTATTTTTACCTTTTAGTTACTTTTATAATAATAAATCAATAAAGAATATACATGAAAATCAAGAATTAAATTACTTACCTGAGTATTGTTGTTGTTTTTTTGCTGTCGACTATCAATGACCTTTAACCCTACTCTTTTATACTAATGGTAGAAGTGCATTAAATAATTTTTATTTAATTAAATAATGCATCAAAGAACATAGACTAATAACATGCAAAAAGCAGACAATTTCCTCTAACAATCACAATTTTTCTGGCTTTCTAACTATGTGACAAGAGCCGTTACAAGTTCATCCAACCTAGCTGTTGTCATTCCTATGGGAACCAAAGTTGTATTACAAGTATAATTTACGATTACCTGATCAGAACACAATGTAATAGAATACATCATTTGATAGACGAAAATCTTGGCTTTCTATTGGTTATAGGTAATATATATAATTAAAACGTAAGACACTAAAACCTTGTATCATGCTCTGTAAAGGATGCCTATGGTGATAGGGTTGAAGAAAGCCTCTCCATTTTCAGTAATCACCCAACTCTAAATAATGACATCAACTCCTCCCTTTTGTAATTAATGTAATCAATTCCAGATTCTCAGTATTTTTATTTGATATTTATTATTTTATAGATACATTGTTTATACTTATATTTAAGCCTTTCTCTATAATACTTTCTCTTAAGAGTGTTATTTATTAAACATGTGTATGTTGAATGTTTTATCATACATTCAATTATATTGTTATCATTTAAATCTGTTCTTTATAAACTTCTGATTAAATACAAAAAACTTGCAATGCTAATGTTGTTATTTGTAGTTCAAGTATTATGAACTTTTTTTGAGATTTTAATGCTGATGATGGAATTTAAGGAAATTCCAAAATGTCCTTATTAAAGCTGTTTTTGGTATTACAATGTTTTAAATATTTATCATCAAACTTTGATTTCCTACCTTATGAATCAGTTGAAAATGATAATAATAATAAAGTGTATAAGTTTACCTCTGATTAGCACAGTTTTTAGCATACTGTTATACCATACACATGTGTATATCCCTTGCTTCCTATAAAAGTTATGGAAAAGAAATGTGGTTAACATCTGTACATTCAGAGTAAAACTAATAAAAAATATTAAAGAGCTGGTAAATGAATGGAATTAAGTAATTCTGTCATTTGTTGCTAAGATGGGAATGTTCTAAGAACCAGATCTTTATAAATAAATATGTGATGTTTTTTTAAGCTAAAATCTTTACAATGAATGGTGTGTTTTTTGTATAAACTAGTATTTTCCTTATTAATTTTAGATAAAATTAGTGAAACAAGGCAGGTAAGTGATGCCTGAAAAAATGAATTTTTCTGTTGATTAATAAATATCTGATATTGAAAGACTCCTTCCTGTAAATTATCAATTTTCAGTACCTTTGTTTTTTACTGTCGCTCCTCTTTTTCATTATCTTATTTTTATCTGTGTAATACATGTTGATAACTTTGTTGTTCACATAGCCTTTAAACCTTTTAAAATTAAGCTTGCTGTTGGATCCATTCTTTACATAAACAACAATTCCATGTTAATGTATGCTGCATGGCTCGAGTAAATCTACAGAAGTTTTTATTGCAGCTGATACTGCACTAATACACCCTTGTGATTAGATTTAGCTTTTTTTGCCTTTGTCTATGTAAAATTATTTAAATTTAATTTGAATAAATCTTGTCAGAGTTACTGAAAGTATTTTTAATGTCAAATATTGCCTGATGCAATCAGTTCTTTTTGAAGAATTCGTAAGAATTTTTATGACAATAAAGAATGTTATTTCATAATAAAGATATATTTTACATTTTTAAAATTTACCAAACTTTAAAGACACGACTGCTATATTTTATTCTTTCTTGACAGTTTTGTGTTTTTCATTCAACCCTGACTGTTTAGGTGTCATGTAGTCCAAAGTATAGTCGTATTTTAATGAAATTAATAAAGAAAGGTTACTTGCTGATTGAGTAACTATTTAGAGGTAAGTTGTTCTTTCACCCGTATTTCTTCTTTCAAAAGAAATGCCATTGGATCATGATATGTATAGTTTAGGACATGGATCACTGATACGCAGTCCTGTATAATGTTTCAGCTATGAGGTATTAACAAACTGTTCTTTTTTTTTTTCTTTTCTTACAGATGTATCCATCTATTCAGGCTAAGATTTGGGGAAATATTGGGCAGGTGTCAGACTTGTTGGACATGGTTCTTGATAGTTTTATCAAGGTAATCATACCAATCAATTGTTTTTTCTATAGTGGCTAGTATTATACAGGGTATACAGAAATTATGTTAACAAATGTATTTCTAAATGTTTTGAAACTCCTGTTTACCCCAATCATGCTGTCATTATATTCCATGCTTGCTGCAATGTACCTCCCTGGGAATCAGAGAAGTCCATGTATAAAGGACAAATTCAATAAACTTCTCCCTGATCACCAGAGAAACCCTAGTTAAAAGGTTAAATTCCTCCTAAGAATCAGAGAAACCTCTTCCCTCAAACTTCATTTAGAGGAGCATACAGATTGCATCATAATTAGTTGGTAGTTGTGGTATTGTCAGGAAATAGTAAATATATATATATAGAGGTATGTGTGTTGTTGTTGTTTTTTTGCCATTATACTTAACACTATTTTTTATGGTTAAATTATGAATAAAGTTACTGAATGTCCATTTGTAAATCTTCAATCAAAGTTGTCAGATAGATTTCAAATTTACAATGCTAGAAACTGGGTTTTGAGACCCTTGGTGGGCAGAGCTCAGATAGCCCATTGTTTAGCTTTGTGCTTCACTTCAAACAAACAAAGAAAGATTTCACATTTAATGACTTTATAAATAAACTGTTATTATAACATGTCATTGTAGCCAATTAAGATTTATTATCTAGACAGAGCTGTTAAAAGTTATGCTAACTAATTGCATACACCACTGTTTTATTACTTTCTTTTTAAGAGGTATCCACCTAATTATCACACATATATAAATTTTTTCAAATGTCTTATTTGTCGGATAATAGATTTATTTTAGCACAATGTTCCACCTCTGACAGTGACACAGATCAAGTACAATATTTAAAGTACAAATATTTTGTTCAAAACTTTATATAGGCACTGTTTTATGTAAGAAGATTCTGTTTAATTTATAATGTTTTTTCTCATTTCATTAAATGAATTTAATTCTCTATGTATTATACTTACACTTCCAGAAGCTGAATAATGAATGTATATAACACAATTCTTAGAAAGGTGTAATCATTTTCTTCCCTTATGCAGCGTAGTGTAACTGGAGGGTTGGGTTCAACTCAAGCAGAGATTATGGCTGACACTGCTGTAGCTTTGGCATCTTCAAATGTCCAATTAGTGGCTATGAAAGTCATCAGTAGGCTATGTCGGGTAAGTTAGTATTTAAAACTTCATGTTAAGCTTAGGATTACTTCAAACTGAAATCACTAAAAATCATATTTTCACTGATTCCTGTTTTACTGAAAATATTGATCAGTTTAAATAGACTGTCAGCAACCTTGAATGATGTGAAATCTTTTGATAGTAATAAAGACATCAAAACATTGAAGTAAATTGACAAGTCTCTGCTAAAGCTTTGTACAAAAAAATTTCTTTGTAGTTTGATTAGTACCTAAGTAAGTTAGTGGTCAAATGAAGGGTAATCAGTCAGTACCTTTATAATGTGGTTAAGTTAGATGGGATAAAAATGGGTTCTTCTATGAAAAGGTTCAGTTTCATTAAAATAACATCAAGGTTTTGTGGAAAACAGCCATTTACTGGAGTATGATATATCCAGGTTTTCAACTCTTAAAAATATCTAATCATAAAGGATGATGTTCGAAACTTAATAAACTGCTGTTTTTATTGCTGCTTGTAAAGTTATCTCTGAAGGAATTTGATAATTATTAATGTTGTGGGCTCTAGGTTATTGAGAAAACTTGTACTTCACCAACACCCACCTTGGAACAACATTTAATGTGGGACGACATCGCCATACTTGCTCGATACTTGCTCATGTTGTCCTTCAATAATTGTCTAGATGGTAAGTTTAGAGAATCATGTGTTTAATTTATTTTGTGCAATAAAGACAACACTTTTTTTTATTTCCTTAATATATCAACATTCATAAATCGATTTTGTGAGAGAAAAAAATTATTTTCATATGGATTTGTTTACAATCTATCAAGAAGCATTCATTCAACTTTTCTTTAAGTGTCTCAACTAAGAAATTAAAATCTGATATACATGTTTCACAAAGTTATATTTTTAAACAAATTTATGTAAAAGTTGTGTAAAAAATTTATAAGTTTATATACCGAACATAAGGTACAAAATAGCTAATATATACATCAACATTTCACAATTTTTTAGCTTATTTATTACCAAAATTTATGAATTACTTCCAGCACTTCAAATCTTTACTGTCATGTTTAATAGTTACTTCATTGGTGAAAAATCCAAAGAATTATATAGTGGATCTTTTTCTTTAAATATTGTCAGTTTACTTTTATTGTATGTCCATTAAAATGTGGAACTTGGTGGTTAAAATTTAAGTATCTGTTTTCACCACTGTTTCACTTTCTTATGCTTATTGTTGCTGTTTTTTGAACAGTATATATATATATATATCTTTCTGCATATTCATTTCTGTCTGATATAATATAATTTTATTGCAAGAAAAATGGAAGAAAAAAGCTATTTGTAATTTTCTAAACTATGCAATAAAAGTTTGTTTTTTTTTCACATTTTTTATTACATTGATCATATCTGTGATGTCATGACATTTCTATGCTGCTCTCAAGTAAACTCTTTGATGCCTTTCAGTGGCCAGTCATCTACCTTACCTTTTCCACATAGTGGTACTAATAGTCCACACTGGACCTGTGTCTTTACGAGCTTCAATCCATGGACTAGTGATCAACATCATCCATTCCTTGTGTACGTGCACCAGACCTTCCTTCAGTGGTAAGTATAGCTGTTAATTTATTTTGGGCTATCTATATTCATGTGTATACTTCTATATAAGTACAAATATAGACAGAAATATTTAGATGGGCATATTACAATAAAGATATTCATTATGTGAATTTGTGTATGTTACCATCTATCACCCAGAGTTAGCTGACTCGATCACCATAATGTTTTGTATGGTAACTAGAAACATTCTGGTGGTGTACATAAGGTATTTTGTTTTAGGATTGTTGGTATAGAAAGGGGATAAAAAAGTCCCTGAAACACTTCAGATTTCCACTTTTTTTTTAGATTTTTGGCTTTGAATTTAAGACACAAGTACTTAATTAGTTAAATGAATAAATTATTACATTTCACAAAGCAGGATACACAATTAGTATTTAATGAGGTAAGATTGGAAACAATCACAGATGCCTTGTTGGAGATGATGGAGGAATAAACAGGTGATTATAAGAAAGTTTTTTTGAGAGTGCAGTTTACTTTGTACGTGTATCAAGTTTTGTAATATACAAGTACCATATTTTCTCCAGTATGTTTGTTTTGAACACAAGTACCAGAACTGTTGCATGACGGATGTGATCTTATGACATTCAAATGTATTCATTATAAGTTGCAAGATTATCAATTTATCTCATGTGACATTTCAAAAGTTGATGAACATTTCCTTGAAGTATTTAGCTTTCCTAGGATCTGATTCTTTATTTAACAACCAAAGCTTTTTTGAAAAAAATTTGTGTTTTTCATCTGCATGAATATTGTTTTGTTTTTTATACATATTTTTATGTGCCTTTTATTCTTTAAAATGTTTTGGTGAATTATTAATTCTAAAGTGTTTTACCTACTTGTATACTTAGTAGAGTATCCTATGGACCCAGAGAAGCTTCATGTCTTGTTGACATTTAACCCACTTATAAAGTATTTGTCAAGTATTAAATTTTTCTTTTCTCTCTCTTAACGCTGAAGTTCAGTACAGTTTGTTAGAATAATAGATTTTCATAAATGAAATGTTGAAGGTGAAACACAGCGAGTCCTCAGACTGAGTTTGGATGAGTTTTCTCTCCCCAAGTTCTACTTGCTGTTTGGAATAAGCAAGGTTAAGAGTGCTGCAGTGACTGCGTTCCGTTCTAGTTACCGTCTTGGCGATCGACACTTAGATCGTTCGTTCACCTGCTCTGGCACAGACCAAGAAAGGATGCCACTGTCATCATTGGAAACAATCACAGATGCCTTGTTGGAGATGATGGAGGTATAAATTATGAGAAATAGCTTTCATTGAGACCTTTATTTATGAACCACCCATATCTTTTGCAATGTTAAACCAAATTATGTTTTTTATTGAAACACAATATAAAATAAAAAAATGGAAAATTGGGAACAATAATACAAAGTGTTTCTGTATAGTAAACTAAAATGTGTATGTTTAGGACTAGAACTAAAACAAAGAAGTCCATTTTTAATCAGGTGATGATTAAAGTGCTATGTGAAGACACATTATTTTTTACTCTTGTCACATGATAAGTGATGTTATATTTGTTTATTTTATATTTTAGATGTGTATGAAAAGCATTCCAAATTGTGATTGGCTGCAACAATGGACAGCCCTGGCCAAGAGGTAAGATTCTATATTACATGTGTTAGCCTACAGTGCTGAAATGTTTATATTATATGTTTAGCCTTCTAACCAGAAATGTGTATATTACACATGTCTGTTCTACTGAACTGAAATGTCTATGTTACATGTGTCTAGCCTACTGAACTAAACTGAAATGTTTGTACTGCA